AAAAAAAAAAAAAAAAAAAAAAAAGAAAAATTATTCCTCGCGATAATTAACGCACGGTATCACGGCTATATCATACTTCCACTCGACAATTATAATGGAGAAACTTGTCTCTACTGCTTTAATGAGTCCAACAAACAGCTGGATTCTCATGGTCATGTTGAATTACCTTTGCATCAGCCTCGGGAAATATATTTCCACGATTCGTTGTTCCGCTCGTTAACGAAAATTCTAAATTATAGGGGGGGCTCGTGTCATACGTTAAAATCACGGGCGAAACGAGGCAGAGGATTTTCTGGAACGACGACAATTGACGACTTACGAACAAATTTACATTTTACATATTTATTTCTCTTAACGAAAAATTTAATAAAATTATATAAAATTCGTTGTATCCATTTTAAGACATCGTCCACGGCGTAAATTATATCGAATAGTAGAAAGCTCGTTCGAGAAAAACGTGCTTTTCTTTCCGGGAATTCACACGATTACGATCTCTCGACTATTTACCCCGGACACGAAACTCGACGAACTCGTGGAGCGTACGCTTGCGTATAATACGATAATCGACCGATCGATCCCTGAACGCGTGCAGAAACGAGAATACCGATTCTTCTTTCGTTAGTTTCCGCTCACGATGGATTCGATACGTTCACGTTCGTAACCTCGGCCTCGTATTAAATCAAAACGCGACTGTCTGCCTTACGCAATTCGGTTGAACGTAACGCGCATTCAACGGATAGGTAATTGCGATTTGTGTCGATGGAATTGTAAGTGGAATTTGTAGCGTTTAATCGAGGCGAATTAAAATTGTTGAAATTGGATAAGAAGTTCGAATCGGGATCGAATTTTTTCACCTCGCGGTTGTAGAATCGGTGTGGAATGTTTTCTTTTATGATTCCGATATTTCTTTTCCCTTTTATTCTAATTTTATGTCTTTTATTTAAAAAAAGTGTCTTTTATTAAATAGAGAAAAGATGGTTGGTTGATAATTGATGGGCGATTTTTCGATTTGGTATGATTGTTTTTTGCTTTTTATGTAAATTGATTTAAACGTTTTTAATAATTATGGACAAATAATTGCATTATATCTATTTTGCTTTGCTTCTAAATGTTACAGTTATTGTATCGAACGTATATTCTAAATATTCCACGTTACAAATTATGCTGTCCTATTTAATTCGAGTTAATATCACATCGTTATATTAATATTATTATCATAGCGCAACAAGGCAACAATTTCGTTCAATCATTATAAGACGCGAAGAGACATTTTAATAAACGTTCAAAATCAATTCTATTCGAAAATCGATTTGCAATCTATCGAACCATATTTTGTATCTTTAAATTATTTTCCATATCTTAATTTTATCGGTTAAATTAAAGGACATCGACGATACCGTCGGAATTATATCGTAACACGATACACGGCTTAAAAGTCGTTTACAATTATTAGATTAGAGATGGCCTTACGAATTTGCATACGTTGTCTAAACAACAACAATTGGTGAAATGGTTGCGTTCGTTAAGTATAATGGAAAAGTTTTACACTCGAAAAATTATTTTCTATAAAAAGAAATTTCAGCTGAAAGTTTCAATAAAATCGCTGCTACTTGAAGGATCGTGATTCAACGCGAAAATTTTAATTCCATACCCTATGAAAGTTTAAAGCATTCAGGTAATAGCTTTATATATCGCAATAATTATTTTCGAAAAATCGGTGAACCATAAATATCGCACAATACCGCGAATAGATTCGTTTCCGTACAATGCTTTGTGAAAACATTTTTCAATGTTTAATTTTCATTGTAAGACTTGGAGAGTGAATGACGTAACTTTTGCACACAACTGTATAACGAAGCGTGCACAATGTTCGTGTATTTATTCGCGGTTAGTTGGTACAATAAACCGTGTATATAACCGTGGAAATGTATCGATTAGAGAGATGAAGGTGGCCCCCGTGTAACTCCGCCTCGAAATCAATCAAGCCGTACCTACAAGCATCCTTTACCTCGACCTCGAGCACGTTCGTTCCAAGTGTATCAAGAAGATGCTTTTTCGTGAACATAAGAATGAACTTTAACCTGAAGATTTCTTGCCAATCAAGATACACTCGAAGCTCGCTTGAAAA